TGCTGAGGGGAGCAGCAGGAGAGTCAGGAGAGGTCTGCTGCTCCATGTGGGTCACCTCCCTGGCCAGGGATCGAACTCATGCTGCAATGGCTGGGGATAGCTTCATAGTGCTGGGTCTTAACCCCTTGTATCACCAGGGAGGCCCCTCATGCAGTGAATTAATGTGATCCACAGGGCCAGAAGCCAGGCTACTTCACTGTTGACCTAGAATCTCCCCATTGCTCTATGCTTTATCTATAGGAGTGACTTCTTGGTTTCAGAAGAAGAGTAGATTTAAATTGACTTGGGTCATTTGGCCTACTTTTGGCTAATGAGATAAAACTAAGGCAAGGATAAAGGAAAAAAATTCTGGGAGAACTAAGTTGAATTATGTTACTTAAGGGTAACTCTTATCTTTATGCTTAACAACCATTGACATGATTAGAAGCTCATCACACTCATAAAATCAAATATAAAAGCTATATGACTGGGCCTCCCCTGGTGGTGCAGGCAGTTGAGTGCTGCACTGCAAAGCTGTCTGCAGCCTCTGCAGTGCCGGTTCAATTCCAGCTGGCCGCTGAGAGTTACACATGGCGCCGCAGACCTCCCCTGACTTGCCCGCTTCTCCCCTCAGCAGTGTATTTCGTCAGTCTGCCTGTTCTGCTCCCCACTCTGTCTCTGGTGAATCCTCTTACCCTCCCACGTATCTGGTCTGTACCCTGGTTCTTGTATAAAATAAATAAAAAAATCTTTAAAAAATTAATAAAAGCTATATAACTATTCAACTTTATAACCACAAGTGTTAAGCTCCTGAGAGATGGTGACAGATGACTAAATGTATAATGGAAATTATACATACAATCCAACCCATCAAAGAATGGTCTGCAACATTTATGTACACAAACAACATAATCTCAAATTAAAAAAAAAAAATCTATCTCGGGCCTCCCCTGTGGCGCAGCGGTTGAGCGCTGGGTTGCGAAGCTGCCCGCGGCCTCTGCGGTGCCGGTTCAATCCCCGGCTGCTCCCCGGCCACTGGAGGAGGGTCCCACATGGCGCACAGACCTCTCCTGCCGCCCGCTGCTCCCCTCAGCAGTGTACTTCGGTCCTTCTGCCTGCTCTGCTCCCCGCTCTGGCTCTGGTGAATTCTCTCACCCTCCCGCGCTTCTGACTGTACCCAGTGCTTGTATAAACAAAACAAACAAACAAACCAGCAAACAAATAAATAAAGCATGCCTCTATCAAAAAAAAAAAATCTATCTCTATTTTACCTTACAATTTTATGTCAATATCAGATTAATGTTGCCATAGAAGTATCTTGGTCTCCGTTAAGATCCTGATCAGAAATAACTTCTACTTTTATACTTTTATTACTCAACATGTGGCAATCAATCCACTACTTCATCTATGTCATCTCATTTAATCAGTAAAATAATCTTATGAGATTGATATGCTTACATTTTTTATTTAAAAAATGAGAAACTGAGACATAGAAATGTAAGGAAACTGCTCACAGGTGATTGCAAGTCTTGACTGAGAATCCTGGTGCTCTGACTTTGAAATCTTTCTATTTGTTTCTCCAAAGCAAATGTTGATATTCCACCCTCTGTGGTCAGGAGGTGCCACTGCAGCTATGATCTTCCATAACAGATGGGAGAGCTATTCAACCATTTTATAGCAAAATATCAAGTCACCATGTGCAATTGGGTAACTTTTCTACACATTTCTCAAGAGTACTAGAAGGCAGATGACATTGTTAACATTGCTCAAAGGCCTATGAATGTAATACTTTGTTTTTATTAGACTGCATGGAAACATTTGCTCGGTGACCAGTTGTCTAGCCTCCATCTTTCCATATAATAAGAAAGGAAACTCCCTCTATAAATTTAGCACCAGCCAAAATCTATATTAACTCACTGAATCAAAGTTTTACACTGAAACACCTATTAATTCAATAATCCATTAAGGAGAGTGTGTAAGTTAATGCCTCATCTCAAAGAGAAAAGAACTCAAGAAGTGGCCTCGTTCACAAAAGACAGAGCTCACACATCACACATCGCTACCTGACATTTGGAGGTTTGGAACTGCACATCTATTCACGAACTTGCTACATGTTGTGAGGTTAATAAGATGGCTGTCTGCTGGAGACAATTGTGTGAACGCTGGTCCAGATAATTCTCTGCCTTTGGCGCTCAGATTTTGCAATGTGACTCTGCTGACAGTGACAAGTGGTGGCTTTTTCATGGTAAAAGCTTTTTAAAATGTGCCTATACACAATCAAACATTATTTTAGAATAATTGACTCAGCTTGTGCCATGCTAATAACAGCTTCCTTAATGATTTTGTTCTGCTTTCACAAAGGGGTAGCTGAAAGGTAGGCCAGCTTATTTCTTTTTTCTAAGCTTTGTGCCTTTGCCAATTCCTGGAAATCATAGGTTTGTCAAGGTTTCGGAACTGTGATCTTTCAGACATATGGTTACAATTTAACACATTTTTATTCAGCACTTTTGTATTCATTAATTTTTCAAAACACATTTATGGGACTCGTGCGATGTGCCAGCCAGACCCTGTGCTCTGTGTTGGAGGAGACAGTGAGGAGACAGATGTGCCTCTTGCCTTCTGGAAGTCACAGTGCACTGCAAGGTCACAATGAAGAAACAATTATAATCACCACAAGGTGAGATGAATCCCATGTAGGAAAAATAAATAGACCTTGAGGATGGAAGGATCCTTTTCTCAAATAGGGTGACAAAGGAAAGTCTCCATAAGAAGGTAACTCTAAAGCTGAGGCACGAAAAATGAAAATAGCTCTGCCCTTAGGAGCGGGCAGAGAAAGGATGAAACAAGCAGGTAGCTACACATGAAAAATTCTGAGACAACAAAAACTTGGCAAGGTCGAGGAGCTGAGTAGAGACCTATGAGAATGGGTCACATCGGGTAGAGAGAAATGACAGTATTTAGGGATAGAAAACTAGGCAGCAGCCAGGTCTTGCTAGGTGCTGTAGACCAGGCTCAGGGGGATCGATCTTATTCTTAGGGCAATGAGAGTCCTTTTTTTTAAAGATTTATTTAATTTATTTATGCATACAAGAGCTGAGGTGCAGGCCAGACGTGCGGGGCCGGGGGGGTGAGAGGATTCACCAGAGACAGAGTGGGGGACAGAACAGGCAGACTGACTGAAATACACTGCTGAGGGGAGCAGCAGGTGAGACAGGAGAGGTCTGGTGCGCTATGTGGGTCAGCTCCCTGCCCGGGGATCAAACTCATGCTGCAGTGGCTGCTGATGGTTTCACAGTGCTGAGACTTAACCCCAGGGAGGCCTAATGAGAGTCAATTCAATACTTTCAAGCAATAAGGTCACAATTCACAGTTAGAGGCCTCCGAACAATAATAAATGCAAAGAAGCCTAAGAATTAAATGGGTTGGGATAGGGTTCAGGCAGAAGTCTTAAGGAATCTTTCTTCATATAAAGAGTGGTCATTTAACATTATAAGACTCTTGCGTGTGTTGCAAAGATATTGTACACCAGTTTTGAAAGTACAGTCTGTCAAGCTGAATGTCCTGTGAAATAACTAATACCCCCATCTCTCACACACAAAGAAGTTTTTATTGTTTTTTGTTTTGATTTGTTTTAAGGGTAGTTCTTAGTTCCTGAATGTTCTTCATCTTTCTTACATGGAAGAAATGGAACCCAGTTTGCTGAGCTCAGGATAGGCTGCTGGTGTTACACTGTGATGAGCTTAGCTAAGTCAGTGGTAGACTGTGTTCTAGAAACTATGCTGGCAAGTGCTCTGCCTATGAGCCCATGTGAAGTTCAGCCTGCTAATGTGGTGATTAGTGGAGCTAATCACCTTTCTATAGTCAACAAAAACAATGAATAAATAAAAATTAGAAGCAAATATGAAAGACAGGTTTGTTGCAAGGCAAACTATCAGCCTTTGTAAAGCACATGTAGAAGTGAACATATGTCTTCATATAATGTCACAATAAAAGATATGAAATCATAATAAAGAATGTGTCAAAATCTATGGGTCATTCAGAAGAAGATACAGATGACCCCTGACTGACCTACCATGGTTTGATGGATGTTTTTTTTGACTTTACGAAGGTAGTAAAACAATACTCTTAGCAGATACCAGGGTAGGGTGGTCTCGTGATACAGCAGGCCACAGCTCCCAGTCTACATTTTAAATTTAGGGTAATTTCATTTTGCAAAGTTTTTTTTTTTTTTTTTTTTTGGGGGGGGTGTAATCCCATTGCAAGTTGAAGAATATCTGTAGTAATAACTTCTAAATAAATGACTTGTCCTTCAATAAGACGAGGGGAACAAAATGTTAGACAAAGGGAGATGTTTAAATGGCAATGACCACATTTAGCAGTTTGGGTAAAAATAAGCATCCTTCTTATTGTTAAGGATATAGAGTCCTTAAAATTCTTAAGTCCTCAGGGGCATGCGGAGTCCTCTCACACACTGATCAAATGAGACCCAAGATCTGAGGAGAATCCAGGTGGGCAGCTTTGGATCTACTTCTGGCTCTAAATGTCTCGAACATATTTCTGTGTCCTGACAAGATGACAGCTCTAAAAACTCCAATGTTGAATGTTAATCATTACCCAATAGGCTGCATTCACGTATGTTTCTTATTATACACTTATCAATTTTGGAGAGTCATGGTGACTAAGCAAAAAAAGAAAAAAAAATGCTAGCTTGGGTGGCCTGTTGGGACTCATATTTGACAAACCCCGCCCGGATGACTCAGCTTTGGGGCTACCATGAAAGCTATTTTGAAGATTCAAAATGGACTTGCTTTGTTAATGAGCTGTCATCTTCATATATAACGAAACAAAGTGCTAATGAGATGTTACCCTTCAAATTAGCTTAAGCGCTGAGGTAGAAGGGAGTTCTGAGAAGAAGCCAACACCCAGTTTTCAGAGTATATAATCTCCCTAGCGAATGATTTGCTCTTCACACCTGCCTTGCTGGGTCCTCCAGAGCAACTGCAATGATGGATTTTGCCAATATGCCCGTGAATCGTGGCTACTTGCTCAAGGGCGTCTACGATGCAGCGCCTCTCTCCTCCATAGGGCACGAGTCAACAATTCCCAAGGGTAATTTTGAAGACATGGTTTTTCTACCCAGCAGCTGCCAGGGCAAAACCTGGCTCCTGGACAACTTTCAAGAAACCTGCAGTGAATCCAGCAGCTGCCAAGTGAACAGCAGTGGACGGGATCGGTGCACCGAGGATCGGCGTCTGCAAAGTGCCTGCCGCCCCCGAGCTGCCCAAGGAGATGGTTCTAGCTCCATGTCCTGTGAAAGAACAACTCGCCAATCTGGAAATTCCATGGAAGTGCTGGAGCGCGTTTCTCAGTCTTACCAGTCAGGGAGCTGCCAGCCACGGGGGTTTGCCAGCCAGAGCTGCCAACCTATGATTTCCATGGCAAAAGGTGGTCCTTCCAAGACACACATGTCTGAGAGCTTCCAATCGATGGAATGTGAATCCAGCCAATCCCAGAGCTCGGCATCCAACTCCTGCAGACCTCTGCTCCGTGGGACACCAGGATCACGAATCCTCGAGTCTTCTAGCTCTTATCAGAAGTCTTGCTGTGTCACTGGTGGTGGTTTGTAATTGACTAATAAGAATGTATAGAAAGTTTAGGGGAGGTAATGTCTTCTAATTGGGGTGAGCTGATTTCTGAGCTATTGAGGGCCTTTTATTTCTGTAAATACAAATGATGGTGCATGCTATTGTGAGTTGTTGAACATGTCTTCTACTTCTTCCAGAGAAAAGAAGTTTTTTTTGTTGTTTGGGGCCTTTCTAGTGCCAAGCTAGTACTGCAAAATATGTTAATGATTTTAAGTCACGAGGACACTATTTGTTAGCGATCGGTAAGAGCTGCAACCAGGGACTAAAATGAGCACTTAGAAAGTCAGCAATTTCCTTTACTGATGGTTATTATCAATAGAAACATTTAGTACTGGAAGCTGATCTGTTAACTGATGTGCTAGTAATAGCAGAAAACCCAATTATGCCTATGAATTCTGAAGGGTTCTGCTCTACCAGAGGTTGTTCATGCCACTGATTAATGAACCATAACTGAAATCTGTGTTTATTTACTGTCTATCTGCAATTTTATCCTGCATCCCACAAGACTCTTCTAGCTAACTATTAGGTTGAATCCATTATTTGTTTTGCTCAAGAGAATTTTGAATTTCATCTCTATGAATTTCAAAACCACATAGTAACCAAACCTTTTAATGGGACGAGTACATGTTTACATTTCTGTTCTTCCTTTTCCTGTTTTTGTTATTTCTTAAATCTTTTTGAACCTGGGAAAATGTCCTTTGTGTTAAATAAATTTACTTCACCTAATTACAAAGTTGTCACACTTTATCTTTATTTAATGCTTTTGTGGGCTTTATGTTATAAGATTTTTTTTTTCACCAGATAAAAATGTTTTAAATATTTGAGGGAGAAAGAACATGGGCCATTGCTATAGTTTGGATGATATGAACCAGAATAAAACAACACATTTGTGGTAGTCAAAAGAAGAAGGGAAGCATGTTTTACATGAAGTTAATAAAACCAGGGAGTCAGAATGGTGAAGATTCAGTAATTTTATTCTGGTGGGTTGGCTATCCTGAAGTTGTTTTTCATTTTTCAGGCTATAAGGTACCGAGTGGCTCAGAAGGTAGCTCTGAAGCCACCTCTTCTTGGGTCTGATTCCTTGCTATGTGGGGAGGAGGCTGCCTAAGCCCCAACTGGGCCTACCTGTAAGTTATTCAACCACTTTCTACCTGTTTCCTTAACATTAAAATTGAGAAGAGAATGACAGGCCCAATGTGAGACTTAAAAGGCTGATAACCGAAGTGTTCAGTGCATGACCTTGTATAGAAAACATGTTCAGAACAATTTAGCACCATGACTGGGCAATTGTGACAACTAAGTGACATCATACCCTTAAATGCTTCATGGAGTGTCTGTGTCAATATATATAAGATGTCATTTGAGACTTCATCTCATATTTGCTCCTTGGCCTCAGCCTTGTTCTCGTGAATTTGCTAGACTAGCTTTAAATTTTAGAGCACAGACCAAAAACTTCTCTTCATTAAAGGTGCAAAGGGCAGGAGAAATATGGCACTTGACCCAAACAGTCTACGTAGTGCTCTCAGCAACTGTAGAAATGACTCAGTAGCTCGATGGTACAAAACATTCTCCATAGATGAAGGAAATATTTCCTTCCAGCATGAACAGAAATACTCTTGGGGGATTTGTATAATCCCATTACTTACCCTTGACTCTTCAGTATGTGGATCATATGATTGCATGATTTTCTCCTAGAAATCAAGCACAACAAATTTCAAGAACATTTTGTTGCCTATGCACTACTGTGGCAAGAGCCATACAATTGTTCTTTTTAATTTAGTTCTGATTATTTATCAGGCACTATTTATATACTTTATCATTTCACATGCAAACAGCCCAATTTGATAGTAGGATTTTTAATTCCCATTTTTTCATTGAGAATGAAGATACAGTAAGTAGGTTGTTCACGACAATATAGGCAGTAAATAGGAAATCCAGAATTTGAATCCAGTCGGTGATACTTAAAAGCTTTTTTTTGTGTGTGTGTTTGTGTGTGTGTGACCCTCGCTGGCAGCCGGGGAATGAACCGGCGCTGCAGAGGCTGTGGGCAGCTTCGCAGCCCAGCACTCAACCGCTGCGCCACCAGGGGAGGCCCAGATTCTTAAAAGCTTGATGTATAAATCCTAATGTGGATTACAGGTGGGAACTAGGAATATGATCCCTGCCTTAGAAACCACTTAGAGCCTTGGACTGCCTTCCCCAGGGTCATGGTGATTGATGAGTTGCCTAAATGTTCCTTCCAATGATGCTGGTAACGTTATCATTGGAGGAATACTCTAGGGTTGTTTTATATTATCAATAGTCCTGCAATTGACTATCTATAGACTGCCTAGCACGCCCAGACCTGACAATGAAGAAACTCCCCACTCTTACACATTCCCATGTCCCTGTTCTTTCTTTCCTATGTAATCTTGCTGCTTGGGGTGGCAGCCTTTCCTGAGAGCTGACTTCTGTCCTCCAGACATGACACCACTGACTAATAAAGCAGTTCCTTTGAGGAACAACCTCGTGGTTCAGAGTTTGGCTTTCTGAGCATGAGTGATATGACCCAGTTTGGAAAGTGACACAACCTACCTGATTCAATTAGAATTCTGGTCACTACAACAGCTCAACTGTGAGGAAAACTCTGTGTGGCATGGACTGTCTGTACAAATAATTTGATTAAAAATTCTTCATCTGGTTATGTTGTATTTTTGTGAATATTTGGAGAAGACAATCAGAGAACTAATATAGTTGATTAGATGGCTTATTATAACCCAGGAATAAATGCTAGAAAGGAGTTAAGCAGCTTTCATTGAAGTGTGTAAATATAATACATTTTTAATATCTTAGGAAAGAACATTAACTTCAAATAAGGTGAAGATGACATGGTCTAGGTGCCAGGAGGGGGTTCATAAGGTGTGGAGTCAGATTCTTCCACAATATAAGCTTTATTGTCTTAATGTTGTTAGTAATTCTGCAAGTAATTTCTGTTTTCATGCCCTTTAGCCCCTACCTCTTTTCTGTTAAATTATATTCCTTTTGAAAATTTTGATTTTTTTCTATATATCACATATCAGTGAAGTCATATGAACAAACTTATTAGCTACATAAAACAAACAAAAAAAACCTTTTAGGCTATACAACCAATTAGTGATTGCCAGAGATAAAGGGTGGAAAGAGGCAAACTGGTAAAGAGGTTCAATTGTAAATATGGTGAAGGATAGAATTGGACTCTTATTCATCAACTTAATGTAGTGTATATAGTTGTGTGATTTTTAACAATGCATGCCTGAAACTTCCAAGTTTCATGTTATAAGGCCAGTCTGCCTCAATAAAAAATAATTAAGAAAATACTACTTTGGGTTTGTGGCAGGTAGTAATGGGATGTGAGGACAGGATTTTGTTCTAAGTTGCATCAGATTATTAACACCATTCTTGAAAACAGAATATCCTTCTCTAGTTCTACGTACCATTTCTATAGTCCTTATAACTCTCTATGATTACTTATCATTTCGAAAGCCCCTATAACTTCCTATAATTATTCCATGTCCAGAATTGTTACATCTTCTGGGACCCAAATGGAAATGATGATAATTGTAGAAAATGAGTTAATAAAGGAATGAGAAACACAAAGCAAGACCATTATACTTCTTTAGACAACTGATTATTCACTACTACTATTACAATCAGAATTATGGCTTTGATTAGAGATGCAACACACCATTGATAGATAAGTACAAATAGAATAAACATCCAAAAATTAACATTTGACTTTACAAACACTTTTTTTGTGATTGTATAGTATGAAGTCATTTGCCTGAACTTTTGTGTAGACTTCTCTGACTTTAAAGACACAAATCCAGTAATAAAATCCAAAGAGAGTTGTGACTTGGATCCAAAGGCAAAACCAATGTTACTGCATTCAGACACAAGACCAAAGACATCTCAGGGTAAACACTGAAGATGGTTCGGTCTGTTGGTATTCTTCCATTACTCAACATGCTATTGCTTCAAGTCCATGGCCAGTGCATCTGAGAAGTTCAGGAATACTAGTTGATCAAGACGTTGGGAAAAGACTGAAGATCAAAGAAAAGCTCAAAACTAGCAACTCACTTGCAACACTGCCTTGTCACTGTTGCTTCATGGGCCACGATAGGCTGCTTAGTTCAACTGAATGTGCAGAACATAAATCTTCTTCACTGTTAACCTACCGACTTCTACAGTAGGATCATTAACTCTTGTTTTGGCCCCCCTTGGTATGAGCTACAATTCCCAGGACACTCTATGTTAGGAAACCAATTTCATAATGGAAGTTGAAATTCTCAAGCACAAAGAGCTTTCCTCTAGAACTTCATATTTTATTAAATTAAACTGCAGGAGAGTGTGAAAAGAATAAATTTTACATCTCAGTTCTCTTGATAGGCACCTGTTATATATTTACTTAATGATTTTTATGTATTTATTTAATGTTCAGATTTATCATAAATCATGGTAAAATTTGCAGTGATCATAGGAGAGCTAACTAGATTAAAATTAGAGCATTCATCACTACTGAGAAAGCTCTTTCTCAGAAAATTTGCCCAGGAAAACAAAAATAGACATCAATGCAGCTCTTTCATTTTTCAGGCCTATATTTGTTCAGCAGGCTGTGGCAAGTGTGCCCAGTTTCCAGTCTCCCTGGGGCTGCAGCTGGTGAAGTCAGGTTCCCAAGAGTCTGTTTTAATTTCCTGCAGCAAGTGACTATAGCGATCAAGGCATTGATTTCAAGATGGTCTTGGAGGGGCTTGGAAAGTAAAGTCTCTCCTTTGGAACCCTCAGGCTACAAATAGAACGTTAGGCAATCAACAAAACAATAAGCTACACCCTGGAACCTTGAGAAACCTGGGAGAACAAATACCACACAAACTGTTTTGTTCTGAAAGATGCGAGAGAGAAATCTTTATCTTACCTCCAACAGGTAGCAAAAAAAAAAAAAAAATGCTACTGGACATTACTCTAAA